CGCAGACGAGAGAAGAGGGAGAGAGGAGAGAGAGAAAGAGAGAGAGATGATGAGCGAGGGAGAGAGACGAGATGAACTGACGAGAACACGACGAGACGGCCGGAGCAGAGAGAGAGAAGAGACGAATCGAGAGACGAGACAAACCGAGAAGATCGATGAAACGAGAGAGACGAGAAGAGAGCGAGAGAGAGGAGAGAGAAGAGACGAGAGACGAAGAGAGAGAGAGTGATCAGACGAGTCGACAGACGAACGAGATCGGAGGATGGGAGAGAGAGAGAGGAAGAGAGGAGAGACCGAGAAGGAGGACGCAGGGAGACGAGAGAGAGAGGAGTGGGAGAGCGCCAAGAGAGAGACGAGGAGAGAGAGAGAGGACGAAGAGAGATGACGGACGAGAGAAGACCCGAGGAACAGAGACGAGAGGTAAAACACAGACGAGAGCAGAAGAGATACGAGAGGGAGGACGGAGAGAAGAGAGAGAGAAGATGAGAGACGACGAGGAGAGGAGAGAGATGACCGACAGCATGAGAGAAAGAATGAGAGAGAGACGAGAGAAGAGCAGAGAGACGAGGAAGAAGAGAGAGAGAGAGAGGAGACGAGAGAAGATGAGAGAGTGGGCGCTGGTGATAGATTGGCTGTGGTCCCGTGAGTTTTAGATGGGAATTTGTTCCCCAATTATATCCATTCAGTATGACAATGGCGATCGACAAGGTCTTTAGACAATGAGGAAGGTGCCACGTGCTATTGCTTGAATCTGTCTACTTCAGGCCCAACCCAGACTGATACGTTGCGAAACCCCACTAATAGCTGCGCGGTGGGCTGGCGGTAGGGTGGCCGTAGGGGCGGGAGGATGCGCTCTCACCTTTTTGCCGCTGGTAGCTGTGCTTGTAGGTAGTGGTGTGTGTTGTCGTGTGTCGTGTCTGTGTGTGCGTGCGTGTTGTGTATGTGTGTGCGTGCTTGGTCACATGGTGAGTGTGTGTGTGCGTCACATGTGTGGCTTTCGCTAAGTGATACATTGAGTTATGCACCACGTTCGTGTGTGAGTGTTTGCGTGCGTGCATGTTGTGTACATGTGCGCGCTGGTGCTGAGTTATCTTCATCTTCGTCACTGTATATTGTTCCACCCTATAAAATCTTTCTGTTTCACACTATCACCCATGCGTATATGTTTGTGTGTGTGTGCACGCGTGCGTGCGTGCATGTGTGCGTGCGTGCGTGCGTGCGTGCGTGCGTGCGTGCGTGCGTGTGTGCGCGTGCGTGCATGTGTGCGTGCGTGCGTGCGTGCGTGCGGTTGTACATAGCCTCAACTGTCACTCTGTCACTGTCAACCGTCATCAGAACGTCCAAAAATCTATCTAGTCAAATCAACGTAAAAAAACAAAATTCAACCGACGTGAAGGCGGAATAAACATCGTCCGCACCATTATCGCAAACAACGAGTGACATCATCATCATCATCGACCTTGCGGCGTCATCAAGGTCGCGATCAAGGTCATGCGCCGCGTCATCAAAGTTTGGCTTGCACGTCTCAGTGCGCACACCTACGAGTGAAATTTTCGACGTGCTTACGCCATCTGGTGGCGATCAAGTGAAACTTCGGCGAGTGAATCACGAAGAGAGATGGGCGGGTTTGGTGTTTGTGCTGGAGAGAGTGGGCAGCCCGCTAGAGGGCAGCAGTGTCTGACAACGGTCCGACCAGCCACCGTCCGACGGTCGCGTGAAGCCATTGCCGTCCGATCGTCTAAAAATGTCGGTTTCTGGCAAATACCGATGTCGCTCCGCCTGCTTGCGCAGTGCGTCTAGCCGAGGAGAGCGAGTGACGCCCCGCGAATGTCTCGTCATCGAACGGAAGCGGCGCTTGTCACCAGGTGGCGCCTCTCGGCGTGTTGTTGCGAAGCCGTGTTCGGCCACTTCTCCAGGCAATCGAATAGGGACTCACTTGACCCATGGTAAGCCTTCAACCCATGGTGACTGACCGCTTGACCCACGGTGAGCACGGGCCTAGTGCTTTATAGGTCACTCGTGTACGCATGTGGGCTGCACTTCACGTAGGCTAGGGAGGCGGTGGATGCTGGAATGCAGCACCCGGCAGCACATATCTTTCACCCCACGCACTTTGCCGACGTTAGATGCACTGAGATTCTCGTGTTCTCATCAGATCTTGTCATCTCATCTTTTCATCCGCCTCGTTGAAAATTCCACCGATACACTCACGTGGCAGTGTTCGAAGGTTTGTACTTGATTTGCGTTTGCGATAGCATCCCTGCATCCCAGCATCCCTGCATCTCTGCATCTCTGCATCTCTGCATCTCACGTCTTTGATCAATTCGAACGTCACGTACCTTGAGAACGGCGTGGGAACTTCAATCAACTCAGTCCTAGTGATAGAGATTTGTGTTAGACGCACATATCAGTAAACAGCAGTGCACGCGGCACGCCTGTCACGTGGTTGTGGGAAGGTCGCTTAAGCCCGGCGCACACGTGAGTAATTTTACTCTAGTAAAATGGACCGCATGAGTCATTTACTCACGTGCTGCGTGCGCGATTCTCGTGAGTAATTTGACGCACTGCGTCATCTTTACTCAATATCAAACCGTACGTGTTTAATAATTTTTGACTCAGTGCCGTCATTTAATTTACTCAACGTGTGCCCGCACCGCGCTGAGTCAAATTTATCTCAACACTGGTATACTCACAGCGCATGCGTTTAAATCTTTGTGCCCCCAGTATTGGCTTGCGCCACCAGTCACGTGGATCGCCATCATCACTTATTCCCTTGTAAGTAAGTTTTACTCCACGTTGGGCGCCGACGCCTGAATAAGATTACGCGTAGTATTTTGACTCTATCGTCATTTTACTTGAGTAAATTACTCACGTGTGCGCCGGCTTTACCACCCCAGCTGCTGCTATCCTTCATGCACCCAGTACATATATACTTACTCACCACAACGTACCGCCCAACACCGGACACCTTAGATCGTAGGCGTACCACAAATATATATATATATAGTATATATAATACGTTGTCTGTGTGCGCGCGCGCGCATACACCCGTGTCGGGATAGATACTATATAGTGATAATATGTCCATATATATAATTGATATGGATATATATAAATATATTACTATATAATCTAATCGCACGTGACGCTGCACGTCCACAAATGTGCCGCATCGCCTGCACACCTGATTGTAAAACACTTCACACAAGCAGATTCTGTTCTCGGAGGGGCAACCCTTTTTTTTTTCTTTCGATGCGCTGCGGGGATTTCTTTTTAAGTCTCTTAATTCTTAATGTCGAATATGCGCGCCTCTCTTAATCAAAATGTTGATGCACTTTGTACTCATTTTTGGAGGACGTGTGTTTTGCTGCTGAACCGAAATGGTGTTCACTCTCCCAAAATTGCTGTGTTATTAAATAACTTTATTCTGTTTTTTTCACGCTCCAGGATGGTCGTATATTAAGTTGCTATGTACATTCTCACGCGGAATTCGGAGATGTAAGGTATTATGGGGCATGCAGCCATCGGTATTATAGGTAGACCGAATAATCCCTGTCCCAGATAACCTTTTTATATTTTTGGTGAGGTTATCACGCATAACGCAATCCAAATCCAAATCCAATTCAGTATAACGCATCGCAAAATATAAAA